GGCATTTTTCTTGATAAACGTGAGGCTGCATTTTTTTTTTTTTTTTTTGCATTTGTATCAGCCATTTGGGTTTTCTCTTTTATGCATCTTCTGTTTATATGCTTTGACCACTTGATATGTGTCTAACCACAGTCCATTTAACTATTCTGTCTCTCAGATACTTCACTTTAGGGAAACTTTTTCCATGCTCACCACTCAAACCCAGCATTTTGAGTTTCATACCTGTTTTAATATACATTTGAGTAAAATGATGGCTAATTGTGAATAAAGAAGGGTGACAGAAGCAGATGGACAGTATGTCACCTGTCAATAGGGGTTTTAGTCTAAGAGGAGGTAGGATGAATGCATGACCTCAAAATCTACCACCCACTAATGGCCTCACAGTACATGATGACATTGGCATGCTGTGCCAGCATTTCTGCCTACCACGATGACCCAGAATGAAGGATAAATGGAACAATTGCAAGGTCCTGTGTGTCAGCCTTGGAAGAGAACATACCTTGCTTTAAACTATTAAGGAGGCGGGTGATAGCTTCCTGTACAGGATGACTTCATCAAAAGAGGCAAGACTTATTCTTATTTCTATGACTTATAATGATCCTAAATAATTCTTAGGAAAAATCTGACTCATTTAATCTCCCTTAAATTAGGATTTATGTTTCTGCAATATTTTAGTGGTATTTTTGTCAAATGTTTTCTTTTCAGATCTCCTTTTTTTGTTGTTGCTGCTGTTTTGATTAGACTGTGACTGTGCTCTCTGCTCCCATATGATTCTTCCTTGGAAACAAAGCATTTTCAAAATGGTAGAATCGAGACTAATAAAAGAGAACAAAAAGGACTGTGAACAGGGTCTCAGACAGATGGTGACAGAACACAAATAGGGGAGTGTGTTGAGTGACCTTAATTCAGTAGAGTGCCCAAGTTGTTGGACACGCCAGCATGGGTTGCTATCCTGACTGATCCCTTGGCTCAGAAATGGGTACAGTGATATCAGAGATGCAAAACTTCACTGAGTATTACAGCAGGGACTGCTACCCCTGCAGAAGGCTGTGCTCCTTCCAGCTGCCTCTCCAGCAAAAATGTTCCTCTGAGCCCAGTCAACCAAAATTAAAGTTTACGATCCAGTTTCAAAGAATATTTCCTTTTACAAAAGGCATTGAACATCATTCTTTATACCAATAATACAGAATTGGTTTTTGAAACTTGACTGGAAAACTTATCCATTCACAGAGAGATTGTCAAAGGCCACCTGCTAACCACAGGAAGCCTAGACTGATACAGGATGCCAAATTAATTTAAGGAGATAATGGTTATTTCCTTATCGCTGTCTACATGGATTCTTGCTCTGCAATAGTGGTCAGGAGAAATCAGATGCATGCTACAGGTGAACCATTAGAAATATTCTATACCACGGACCCCTTCTATATAGACCTCTGAGATGCTGCTGATTTCCCTGTGTTCATCCCTGCTGTTGGAATTACTCCCTCATTGTAACTGTTCACTCATCTGTCTCCATAAAGCTCAGGCTCCTAGAGAGTCAGGGCCAGAGCTGTTTCATCCCCAGATCTAGTACAGCCCCCCATGTGCTGGTAGTGGCTAGAGCTGGGTGTGCTGATAGGAGCTGGTGGCCAACTGTCATGAGGTCGCGTGCTTCTTTTTGCCCAGCTTCCGCTCCCAGCCCCACCCTGACCTCTCTTTCAACTCCATCTTTCTACTTACAAGGAGATAAATACTAATACAGTTAGCTGTCCAATGGGTTTACTTGTAGTGCCCATTTGTATTGTTATTCCACAATAGTGGATGAGGTTTAAAGACTGAAGACCATGTTCTTAAATTTGCAAATCTCTGAAAGGAAAGAATCAAGAACAACGACAGCATTCTGAGCTTCCCAGAAGGTAACAACTGTGGGGATTTTCGTGGACATCTGAGAGAAGGACATGCACAGATGGTTTGCCTTTCATTAGCCCATTCTTGCCCAGAAGGCGACATTAACCGTAACAAAGAAGCCTCATACTAGAAGGGTGTGGGGTCACAGCAGCCTTCAGGGTGGTCCCAAGTCCTTGCTCGGGTCTCTGTCTCTGGTTCCTTCTGTATTGCTCATCTGCTCACTTTGCAAACCAGGGCTTGTGACATTGTTCTTCTTTGGAGTGGAAATGACAGAGTTGAAGAGCTTTCGTTTCTGATGGGTATCTGAGTCAAGCAGGAGGCTAGAGTGATTGAGACTGGGCTCACGACTATCTTCCATCCAGTTGAACAAGCATTCAGAAATACAGGAAAAACTTGTTAGGGAAAAGTACCCAGGAAAATGTTTGTGACGGTAACATCTGAGGAATTAAGCAGGCTTCCTCTGTGCCTGAAAAGATGGCACTGCTTGAGCAGGATGGCACGCCTATGGCAGAATCTCCATTAAGATGCCAAAGCAAGTTGTAAGAAATCACCTCTAGAAAACACATCTGATGCACACATACACACAAAATCCAGTTTCAGAGAGTAAGAACTGTGATCATGGTGACATTTGACACCTATAGTAGTTGGCCAAGAGGGTAAAAATACACTAGAACTCCGAGGAGCCCCATAAATAGCTTGGGTGCTCTCAGCTTGTGTGCCAACTGTATCAAGGTTCTTTCTCTCTTCACAGCCCCTTTTTTTCTCCCTTTCTTGTCTTCCCTCTCCTCTCCTCCCCTCCCTCCCCTTTCTCCTTTCTCTGTTTCCTTTCTGACCCTCTTCTTTCTCTTCCCTCCCCCATCTCCTCAGACATTCTCTTCCTCTCTCCTTCCTCTTCCCCTTCAAGTGCTCAGTGCTTCTTTGATTCAACAAACAAGTATGGAGCTACTACTTGGACTGATGACTATGTGAAGAGCTGGGATGTCAAGATGAATCAGTTCTATTTCCTGCCCAGTGCCAAGGGGTGGCGTGACAGGTTTTGCCTAGCATTTCCCTGCACCCCCTCACCTCTACCTCCTGGAACATGCTTTACTCACTAGCTTTGCCATTCTTATTCTGCAATATGGGCAATTGGGATTTTTCTCACTCTTACTGAAGTCATTCTCAGAAAAGCTTGCAGTTTTTTATTGAGCTACAGTATAACATCTAAGGATAAATCACAGACTTACTGTGTTTCAAGTCAAGTTCCCTGGCTGCTGCCTCCAAAAGCTCTTTTCCCAATAAAATCTCTATCCCTCGCCCCTTCCATTACAACTTCTGGAGCCATCATTGTTCCTGCTCTCAGGCTGCTCACAACCTAGGGGAGTCCCAGTTAGATGACTTGCTTTAATATTTATTAAATAAATTATTTATTTATTTTTAAAATCGAGGTGTTAGCCAGGCTTGATGGCTCAGCCTGTAATCCCGCGCCTTGGGAGGCTGAGGTGAGTGTATTGCCTGAGCCTGCGGGTTCGAGACCCGCCTGGGCAGCGAGACCTCATCTCTATATTAAATCAGAAAAATCAGCCGGGCGTGGTAGCGCATGCCTGTAATTCCAGCTACTTGGAAGGCTGAGGCAGAAGGATCGCTGGAGCCCAGCAGGTCGAGGCTGCAGTGGCCGGCAGTGTGCCACTACACTCCAGTCTGAGGAACAGAGTGAGACTCCAACTCAAAATAAAAATAAAAATAAAAAATAAAATCGAAGTGTCACTCTGTCGCCCAGCCTGGAGTGCAGTGGCACAATCATGGCTCACCACACCTTTGACCTCCTGGGCTCAGGAATTAGGTGATCCTTCTGCTTCAGCCTCCTGAGTCGCTAGCACTAGAGGTGTGAACCACTACATCCAGCTAATTTTTTATTTTTTGTTGAGACTATGTTGCCTAGGCTAGTCTCGACCCCAGGGCTCAATTAATCCTCCCGCGCGACTTTCCAAATTGCTGGGATTACAGATGTGAGCCACTGCACTTGGCTTAATATTCTTTAATCATTCTAGTAGTTGATAGGAAAAGCTGGCATATCTAATTTGGAAACTCCCACTTTAGCAGACTGTTGTGCTTTGGCACATGGGGAAGGATAGAACAAAGGAACAAGAAATCAAAAACCTTTGCAGGGCACAAAAAAAATGGCAGGGTGCTTACTGCAATTATGTAAAAGAGGGATTCATCAATTAACACACGTTAAAAACACCCCATAATGCCTCCATTCCTAGTCAGATCAAAGACAGTCCACCCTGTCAATAAATACTATCTGAGTTTCTGTAGCAGCCAGATTGAGATCAGCTGACCTTTAGGCCAAGCGTGCCACTCTTCCTTGCTAAAGCTTTTGGCAAACTATTTCCAACTTTATGCAAGAGATTAGGTTAACTCTTGCAAAACTGGTTCACCAGGAACAATGACTAAGTGTTTTTTTTAGTATCCGGCATATTGTGTCGAGCAGCTATAAATATATTTACAAGCTGGAGTTTCAAGGAAGGGGAGGATTCACTTGCTGGAAAACAAGCCAATTGAGTTATGGGCCTTCACACCGCCAGCATACTGGGTTTTCATCTTTGCCTCTTGCAATTTTATTTTCTTCCTCAAGGACTTTGAGCGTGTCATTTTCGCTTTAACATTAATTACTTGTCTCCACCTTGCTCCCCCTGTGTGTGTGTTTTCTGATCTCCCTTGGGGAGGAGGGGGTGGAGAGTTTCAAGCAGGTATGTCCATGTTATTACGTACCATCTGCTTATTCACCACATCAATGACGAAAGCCAACAGACAAACAAGCGGTGTTCTTATCCCTCCTTTGCAGGTGGTGAAGCTGAAAGCTGAGAATTTTCTTTTCGGCAGGAAGTGTTCCGGAGTCAGAACAACTCTGCATGTAGACAGTGTGGCTTTTAGTTCCAGGTCTTGGCAATGGGGCAGGCAGAGGGAGTGGCAGCTTCAGACTTTGTCGTAGGGTTGTGTTTTCTTTTTTCTTTTTCTTTTTTTTTTTTTTTGAGTTGAAGTCTCACTCTGTCGCCCAGACTGGAGTGCAGTGGCCGCTCCCGGCCACCGCAGACTCGGCGATCCTTTCGCCTCAGCCTTCCGAGTAGCCGGAATTACAGGCGCGCGCTACCATGCCCGTTTGATTTTTTGATTTATTGTAGAGATGAGGTCTCGCTGCCCAGGCGGATCTCGAACCCGCGGGCTCAGGCAATCCACTCACCTCAGCCTCCCAAAGGCGCAGGATTATAGGCTGAGCCACGGAGCCCGGCTGGGGTCGTGTTTTCTATGGAGTGTGCTCTGAGAAGTCTGCGACAAGAGGTTTGCGACAAGAAGTCTGTTACAAAAGTGTTTATTGAAATGAGGATTTCTAAGAGGGGAGCTTTTAAAAAGTATTAAATATGTCAATGTATCTTGGGTGTGGTCAAGAAAGAGTTATAAGACATGTCATTTTTCATATTTATCACTGAAACCATGCCACCCGCAGCCTTTCTCTAAGTCTGGCATTCCAAGAAACACACTTCAGTGGTGCCTGAGGGCCTGAGGAAAGAAGATTAGAATGAATGGGACATTGCAGAATAGAAAGCTCCCCCAGTTGTAGTTCCTTTTGATGTTAGTGGATGCATACTTTTCCAGTTTCTATCATTGTAGCTGCATTGGAGAGAGTAGCTCAAATTGAGGACTGCTTTTTGAGGATCAGGGTTTCCTGAATTTTCCCAGTTCCTTTTGACTTTTTTTTTTTTTTTGAGTCTCACTCTGTCACCAAGGCTGGAGTGCAGTGGCATGCTTATGGCCACTGCAGCCTCGACCTGCTGGACTCAGGTGATCCTTCCACCTCAGCCTTCCAAGTAGCTGGAACCACAGGCACGCACCACAATACCTGGCTCATTTTTTTGTTTATTGTAGAGATGAGGTCTCACCAACTTGCCCAGGCTGGTCTCGAACCTGTTGGCTCAGGTAATCTTCTCACCTCAGCCTCCCAAGGGGACGGTATTATAGGCGTGAGCCACTTCACCCGGTCCCTTTTGACTTCTTTATGCTGTCTTGTCTATTTTGAAATACTAGCATCATTCATTTGATTACAGAGCTGAATCTTTCTACAGAGTGAGGGGTTGGAGTCATGTGCATAGTTAGCCATTATTTATAACCTGTTCATCTATTTTTTGAAAGATACAAGTCATATAAAGTTTGGTAAACTACGCACTTAGATTGATCCTTGTAAGACTCTCTTTTCTTTTTTTTGTGTTGGAGTCTCACTCTGTCACCCAGACTGGAGTGCAGTGGCCGCTGCCGGCCACCGCAGCCTGGACCTGCTGGGGCTCCGGCGATCCTTCCGCCTCAGCCTTCCAAGTAGCTGGGACTACAGGCGCGCGCTACCATGCCCGGCTCATTTTTTGATTTATTGTAGAGTTGAGATCTCACCAAGTTGCCCAGGCGGGTCTCAAACCCGCGGACTCAGGCAATCCACTCACCTCAGCCTCCCAAGGCACGGGATTACAGCCTGAGCCACCGAGCCCGGCTGACTCTCCTTTCTTATCTGCAAGTCTCTTTCTCTAGTTTTTCCTTACTCCACTACTGCCCATGAATTTGTCTTTTCAGTTCCTTGCTTTGCCTTGTCTTATGCTCTAGGACTTTGTCTTAGAAATCTGAGACTCAGCCAGGTGGGTGCAGTGGTTCATGCCTATAATCCCAACACTTTGGGAGGCAGAGGTGAGAGGATTGCCTGAGGCTGTGGGTTCAAGACCAGCCTGGGCAACATGGTGAGACCTCTTGTCTACAATAAATCAAAAAATTAGCCAGGCATGGTGGTGCACGCCTGTAGTTCCTGCTACTTGGAAGGTTGAAGTGGAAGGACTGCGTGAATCCAGCGGGTTGAGGCTGCAGTGGTGGTGAGCATGCCACTGCAATCCAGCCTGGGCGACAGAGTTGGACTCCGAGTCAAAAAAAAAAAAAAGAGATCTCAGACTCGCACTCCTATATGTCACTAGGTCTCAATTCTGCCTGGCCTCAGAATCATCAAGCAAGTCCTGCAGACTCCACTCAGTTCTTTGACTCAAGGAAATCTCCACTTCTTCTTTTTCTTTCTTTCTTTTCTTTTCTTTTTAAT